GCTATATTACAAAATAAAATAAACTAGTGCTAGCTCTTTAAGAAGCATACAAAACACATGCTACGTTCAGCAATGTGTTCGTATTCTTAATAACAGGATCAGCATATCTGCGCTGACACATCTTCTTTATACAAAAAACTCAAAAGGGCAATCTACAAAACTAGATCTATTCTACCATTTAGCAAATCTAAACAGATTCTAAAATGTACAGACCCCTGTATGGGCTAACTCTTGTATTTATAAGAAGTACATGAAGAATGCTGTTTTCCCACTGCCTTAACAGTGTGAAAGAATTCAACTAACAGGATTTTCTTTAAGCATACAAGTTTATTTCAGCTGATGGTCGGATTCCAAAAGATTTCCTGTATGGAGAATTAGTGCAGGAAAATCTCCCTAGACGGAGACCACAGCTGCAATACAAGGATATCCACAAGCGGGATCTAATGGCCTTAGGAATGGACCTCAAAAGATGGGAAACCTTGACGTCTGAGCATTCAGCCTGGAGGCAGGCGGTGCAGCATGGACTCTCCCAATTTGAAGAGACCCTTGTCCAGCAGGCCGAGGCAAAGAGGCAGTCCCGAAACGAGCAAAACCAGGGAGCTGGACAGGAGACAGATTGTATTTGTCTTCAGTGTGGAAGAGATTGTCGCTCTCAAATTGGCCTTGTCAGCCACACTAGACGCTACCACACTAGCAACCTCTATGTTTCCGAAACTTCCACTTGAGAATTGGATAGTCTGGAGGAACAGCAGAATTATCAATTCACCCTATGAATGCCCAGATGTCCTCTCCTCAGCCGTTATCAAGTCACCTCCAATTCACCATATGAATGCCCAGATGTCCTCTCCTCAGCCACCCTATTCAGTTCTTGCAGACTCAATCCCATGGCCTCTTTTAGGGAGTCAGTCCATCTCGTATTTGGTCTTACTGAAATTCATTTCGACTGTAGTTTCTCACAGCCGCATTATGGTAAAGAAAGCATGTGATTTGCTGCTTTGGTCTTCTCTGAGCTTCTGAAACTGAGATTTACAAGGTGTAGCCATGGTACTCTGCCAGAACAACAACAACAAGGTGTCTTGGAGCACTTCAAAGGCTAATTATTTATTTATTTATTTATTTTATTTAAAATATTTTTACCCTGCCTTTCTCCTAAAGAATATTTAAAAGCTACAATAGTAGGTTATTCAAATATGAAAATAAATAAATAGACATTATATTTAAAATGCTAGGTAAAGGCATTACTAAAACAGATTCTAAAGCAACAAAAATACAAACTATCTCATGTAAAAAAGACAGCCAGTCACTAAGGGAAAGCCTGCCTGAAGAGAAAGGTCTAAGATTGCTTGAGGAAGGACAGCAAAGATGGGGCCAGTTTGGCTTCCTGTTGGAGGGAGTCCCAGAGTCTAGGAGCAACAACAAAGAAGTCCTCTGCTGTGTTGCTACCAAACACACCTGTGGAAGCAGTGGGACTTTAAAAACACCTCTCCAATTATCTTAACATCTGGATAGGCTCATAAAGGGAGACACAGTCCTTGAGATAAATTGGACCCAAGCTGTTTAGGGCCGTATAGATTAAAAAGAGCATTTTGAATTGGGTCCTGAAACGGATCAGTAGCTAGTAGAGCTGCTGTAACATGCAGGTTACGTGATCTCTGTAAGAATGTACTGCAGCATGACTCAATAAAGTGGACTGAAATCCACAAAAGTTCATGAGATAATAAATATATTAGCTTTTAAGCGTATTTTTCGCTCCATAAGACGCACCTTTCCATAAGACGCACCAATTTTTTAGGAGAAGAAAACAGGAAAATATAACCTGTTTTCTTCGCTCCATAAGACGCACAGACTTTCCACCCCCCTGTTTTGTGGGGAAAAAAGTGTGTCTTATGGTGCAAAAAATACAGTATATTTGTTTTGCCATTATAAAATCAGCTTCAACTGAGAGACAGAGGTAAAAATCAAATTTATTACTTACAGTATTTATCTAAAATTTACTTGAATTGTAAATCTGAAATGGTTCACTGTATTAGAGGCCAGAAATGCCCAGAAATGTAGCAGCAATATTGGAAGATCAGCAAAAAGTATTGGTACAGGACAACAGAAAAGGAAGCATTCAAGGCCACAGTCAGTTATGAATTTTATATTACCAATAAGAAAAAAAGCTATGCTGCAAATACTATTCATATCAAAGCTTCTTGTAACTCAAAGTGGACTTGATGGAGTACAATATCCAAGTAGTCCAGTGACTCACAGGATAAAATTCACAGCAGAGTAGTTTTTACTTCACACACTTTTTTTGTGCCTACAAAATCACAGGCAGCCAACAAACCAACTTTTAGGCAGACGTATGGACATGGTGGTGCTGCGGGCTAAACCGCAGAAGCCTGTGCTGCAGGGTCAGAAGACCAGCAGTGGTAAGTTCGAATCCACATGAGGGAGTGAGCGCCCGTCGCTTGTCCCAGCTCCCGCCAACCTAGCGGTTCGAAAGCATGCAAATGCAAGTAGATAAATAGGGACCACCTCCGTGGGAAGGTAACAGTGTTCCGTGTCTAAGTCGCACTGGCCATGTGACCACGGAAGATTGTCTTCGGACAAAATGCTGGCTCTACGGCTTGGAAATGGGGATGAGCACCGCCCCCTAGAGTCGAACACGACTGGACAAAAATTGTCAAGGGGAACCTTTACCTTTATGGAGGAGATCAATAAATCAGCTGCCTGATCCAACAGCAGATCCTCCTACTGCAGGAATATGCAGCTTTGCGAATGAAAGCATGGAATGGAAATATGCCAACAAATTCTTCTGATTTTATTACATCTAAAAAAGACCACAGCCACAGCCTGATGCCTATATTTTGTATGAAATGAGTCATGAGGTAAACATGAAAAGGGTTATCTTTGTTTTTAAAAAAAGTAATTTAAATTACTTTTTAAAAAAAGCAATTTCCATAAGCTCATTGAGGAGTTACTCATTTCTTCTGCAAAACAGCCCTGGATGGTTTCAGCACAAAATCTGCTTGTTCCTGAGGTGGAACATTTCCAAAAATATTTTATGGTGTGCCATCATAAGATGCTTAGTGTGTCAGAGGAGAATAAGACAATTTCCCAAAATTTGTCAAAAGCAATCACTTGTATTTTAGATATGTGGATACAAAACTAGAAGCAGGAAATGTTTTGTAAACCAGAAGGAATTCTTTCAAGTTACAGTACTGTTACTGCAAAAGCAATTCAAGATATGTATTATGAGCCGAAGAAATTAAGGTATGAACAGGATTCATCACTGAACTGGTGAAACAGCAACATCCAATGGAAGCAGGGGGCAAGGACAGTCTCTTTTTCGGACTGCAGCTTGCTAAACAGTGTTACAACCTGCGGGGGGAGGGAAGAGGTGGGGAACTCTTCAGGGACAGTTTTCAGACAGGGCTTCAGGGGGAAGGGGAAGGGAAGTGATGCACTTCTGTTCTAATGCTAGCACAACACGAGGTTCGGGTTTCTGCAGCAATGACTGCACTGTAGCCATGACAATCAGTTATGGTGAAAACAAAGCATTTTAAGATTGCACATTACTTTATTCTTTTGGAGACTGTACTGCATCTCTGTCTGGTTGCAGTGAAAAATAACAACTCTTGAGTTCAGACTTTCATAGATTGGACAATCCATATTTTGTATAAATGACAGGGAGCAGAAAGACAGATAAAAATGAATGACTGCTAGAAAAATGTTTCAGGGAAGCAAGCTACCTTTAAAAATTTGGACTAGCAACTTTGATTACATTAAAGCAAAGTGTGTATTTACAAAAGACTAAATTCAGTGACTTCTGTTAAACAGGCATTTTTTCACTCTCGTTGGCTTTCAGTAGAGAATCAAACAATACTCCCACATTTTTAAAATGCATACAGAACAATTAGATACTTTCTTAGTTATCCTTTGCTATAAAAAAGTTTACAAACTGCATTATACACAACTAGTATTGTTTTTTTTTCCTTTTATTTCAACTAACAGAATTCTCCAAGAATTTGCCAGGCATTATTTTGGGAGTTCCTGCACATAGATACTCACCTACAGACAGACTTCTGCATTTCATTCACCTGGAACAGGTTCTGTCTCACAGGTTGTCGCAGATCTATTTCCTGTACAAAAAGGAAACTGCCCCAGGGAATTTATGGAAAGTATATTCTTGCTGCCCTATACAGGGCACACCCAAAGAATTACATCTCCCACAAAGATCTAGGCCTACCAGGAAGCACTGGGGCAGTTTCCTTTTTGTACAAGAAGTAGGCCTCAGAGAACCTGTAAGACAGAGCCTGTTCCAGATGTGTGAAATGTAGGTTTGTACCTGTAGGCAGAAATTACTGGAGTCCAAAAAAAATTGAATGGCATAGTTGTACACAAAACAATTTTAAATAGTTTTTTTAATTATATAAGTTGTTATGAAAAATAAACTGCCTCGTGAATAATTCCCAACGAAAACAGTGAAACTCAATGAAAATAGTGGGAGTTACTCCTAAACTGCACCTATCAATTACTGTACCTAAGCTCTCCAACTATGTTTCACTCTCCTTGGTTCTGTCATCCCATGTTTCAAAATCAAAATGCTTTATACTAACAGGTCCTTTAAAAAGTTAAGAACTGCCACTGTTAATTTACAAACAATCCACTAAAATTACACCAACATGTGCAAGTTTTCATTTGTATAGTAAAACCTAGTTTTCTAGTGGAATACAAACACAAATTAATAGAATAAAATAGAACAGACATTTGCACATGTTCCTTTTCTGATTAAAGCTAAATATTTTATTCAAAAACCTCAACTGACTGCCTTATATTTCATCAAAAGTTAATTTAAAAATCATAACACAAGGAATGAGGCACAGTGAATTAAGAACCTAAAAATAACAAGCATAATTTAAGTATTAATGACTTAGTAAACTTAATGTGGCAGAACATTTCTGGTTAACCAAACTACACATTTGTAACACTTTTTAGTACAGGGAATTTCTTACCTGAAACTCTGTTTCTCTGCTTCAGATCCACCAATCCAGAATGAATGGAAATTCGAATGGGGTTTCCTTTTCACACTTGTCTGTCAAAAGAGAGCAGCCAATCATCTTCAGCTTGGTGTATCTACTTCTTTTCTTGAACGAAATCCCAATATGCACTCCTAATGCTGTTAGAAAGACAAGGAAACCTGTACATCTAGCAGGGTTCCGGGAGTCATTAAATCAGATGGGTCACCGGATTGGTGGATCTAAGACAAGAAACTAAATTAAAGACAAGAAATTGCCATTCCCCATACTTGAATCAACTGATCCATAGCAAGCAGTCTTAATTATTCACTATCCACATTAACTGAAACAAATAGTTACAACATTCCAGTGCAAGGCCTAGAGAAGGCACTAAAAAACATTCTAGCAGATGACAAACATCTGTGTATACCTTGTATTTTCTCAAGGTAAAATGTTGTCAAACAAACGGCTAAAGGATTTGAAATAAAAAGAATCAAGGATGCACAAAGGAAGAGAAAAGTGGGAAAGTAAGGAGGTAACAAACCAAAGAATTCAGACGCATCAAATCTGACATCAGTTTCCATATTTTCTGAGTTTGTATTGAAATAGCTAATCACTTAAATGCCCGTCAACATGCTGCTGCTCAACTTTAACTGCTCACCTCTTCCCCATTCCACCCCCATGATGAGTCTAATAAAAACAGTTTTCTACAAAAACAAAGGATAAAGTTGTGATTGGTTCTTTAGTGAGGCGGGGCGGGCCAGTAATTTTGGTGGGAATGTCAGACGGAGTTGACGTCACTGTTTCAAACAACGCTGTTTTATTATTTTTAACATCAGGAACACCAAGACGAAATGGGTCTCATTTCTCTATATCTGGCAACAACTTGTATTTCTTAATTCTAACATCTTCAATAGACTTCTCGCCTTTTACATTCTCCTCGCTCCAGGGGAATACGTCATTGGTGGAATCGGTATTGGAGCGCTCAACACCGCACAAGTGGTCCCGCAACAGGGATGTTTCACCACCGTGCCCTCCAACCTGGGGAGATAAGGGCTGGAACCGTAAGGGGTCTCACACGATACCTGGGCTGGTATATTCGAACCCAGTCCCCAATTCCATCCTCCCTTTTGCTCGTTCTGACTTTTCTTAGATAACTCGGGTGGAGTAGGTAACAGTCCGTCTCCCACCATCAGGTTTGGAAAGTTCTTCAGTAGCTTTGCGATTCTTTCTCTTTTCTCCCCAGTCGCCTCTGTAGTCTGAGTCTCTCCCTTTTCCTCCTCCTCTTTTATATCATCCCATCTCCACCCTTCTAACTCGGCCCTCTTTTCCCTTTGCTTCCCTTCAGCCAAGAATACTTCCACCGCCTTTGAATTTCCTGTTCCCTCCTCATCTAGTTTTATCAGCTCCCCCACGACACATCCCTCATTCGCCTCTGTTTGTAGTTTCTCTGAGGACGGCACACTTTGAACTCCTCGCTCACAGAAGTATATTGGTGCATTCTTGTAGAAATACAGTGCACCAATTGATGAGCTACCCTAGTAAGATATGAAAACTCTGATTATGAACCAACAAATTAAGCACACCCAAACCAAGTACCTAACATTAGGTACTTGGGATTAAGTCCAGTGGGAGAGATTACTGTTTTTCCTTGAAGAATGAGCGCTCATGTTAAAAATCACAAAACACTTCTGAATTTTTTTTTTCAGATTCAAAACATATTTGATATAGTACTGCAGGAGGCATGGTAGGGTGCTGTTCAAGATATCCCAAACTACACTTCTCATAGGCTCATGAAAGGAGTTGATCTGTCTGGATCATAGTCTATGTACAATCTGGTTCACCCTTTTTGTCACTGTGTCAACTTATAAACCTCATTTGCTTCCCTTAACTGTTAAAGTTTAGGAGCTGGACTCAGACATAATGTCCAAGTTGTGGCTTTGCACAAAACATTAATACAGCCTATACCAAGGTCATAGATACAATCATTATCCTTCTGAAAAGTAAAAGAAATTAAAATGAACAAAGTCTCTCCTAGCCAAAAAAAAGAAAAAAGAAAAAAAGAAGGAAAAGAAAAATAACCAACAGTGCCTCCAGAAAATACCCCATGACTGTTTGCCCTATCAGCAACTAAGGCAGAATTACTTTATTCTGAAACTGAAGCTGCAAGAACCTCAAGAACTTTGATTAGTAGCTGGGATGTATATATCACGAATGAATGGATGATGCCATGCTTCAGCTGAGAGGGCATGACTTTTCTTGCATGCAAGCAGATAAGCGGTATACTCTGCCCCTTCTCAAACCTTCCCATATTTTAAGTGTCAGTATAAACTAATATTTTGGTCTACAGAGAAAAAAGATCATCATAATATGAAACATAGTTTGAACTGGATATAAATATGACTTATTTTCTTCATACAGGTGTGACTACAACCATGTACAGACTGTCATTCAAATTTATTTTTGTGTCACATTAATGTGTCTGTTTTAATGGAATTTTCACAGCAATAAACAATATAGTATACATTAAGAGTTCTCATCACACTGAAAATCTACTGACACACCATTTCTTCATGACTGTATACTATGAGGTTCACAGTAACAAAGAAATGATTGCTATAAAAATAATTTTTGGGTTGAAGCTGACAGTTTTCAGTAAGACAACATCTTACTGAGACACATCAACTACAAAAATAAAGGAAAACACGGAAAACACCAGACGTTACTGTTTACTGTACTGTACAGTATATGTACAAAGCCAAACATTTTAGGTATTTCGCACATCTAGCAACAGGAATTATTTTTTCTTCTTCACTTGTACATATTATTAACACAGCAGGGCAGAATTGTGTGTCACATTTCCAAAAGGATTGTTGCATTAGCCTTTTACAGAAAAAAACCTCACTTCCGTGGCCCCTTAAGACTAAGAAATCAATTCTACCATGAAGTTTCCTGGACTACAGTCCAATTTGTCAGCTGTTAACCCTAATTTTGTGAAGACAATGAAATTAAAGGGAAATGAAATGCAGAAACTGAGCTCACTGTCAAAGCCCCAGCCTCAATCAAAGGTACTATATATGTAACAATTCTGTATCACGACCATACATCTGACAAGGTGGGCTATATAGCATAAAACCTCATGCTATAAACAGTGCTAGCTTTTCAGGTGCCACAGACCCTTTGTTGCTTATACTGTACATTTATTTGATATTTTAAAAAATCAACATATTCAGTCTGAGCATGTGGCTTCCAGTTACAGATGGTCAGACCTTCAATAGGCAAGAAAGAACACCTTCATATAATTTAAGTGACATATAGACTACTAACATTATGACAAATGTTCTGACATGCTGAAGTGGCTCTAACAAAAGAAGAATGACAACAAAATCACATCCAGACTACCAAGTTTTTGTTTCTGCCAATTCTTTCAATATTTGAATAGATAACCTGGCACAATTTAGCACTCATAATCAACTGATACACAGAGGTCATAAGAGAAAAACAAGATATAGTATATGCAATTCTCAATCAATACAGCATCGGTTGGGCGGGGGATCACAAGAAGAACTGATTCTTCAAATGGTACTTGCATCATAACAAATAAATTAAGTCAGGAAATAGGTTGCATCTTTTCTCTTCCTCTCCACTGGGAATCCATTAAATTACAGTTAGCAAAAAGAAAAAAGACACAAAAATCCAGGGAATGTCATTTAAAGGGGAAAATGCATATTAAAATATGCAGTATGGAGAAAGAGTAGTCTATACCAGGAATTGCAAGTTAGAAGCACTGCTGCTTTACTTCTATTATCCTTCTGTTCTCATATGTATATAGTCTTCCCTGTGTGAGCATAAAAGAAAGACAGGTGCACAACTAACTTAAGATTAATCATGGAACTGTAATGTATGCTTTTTTCAACACTGATCCAGCAACAATCCTGTCACTGAGCAAATACTTCATGATATAGCAAACTATAGCAATAATTAAGGAACAGAGAAAAATGAATACAAGTATCTTGCAAACTCCTTGCAAAGTTCATCAACAAAGAATTTGCAGAGTCCTGCATAAGAGTAGCTTCACTGGATCAGTCCCAAGGCTCCTCTAATCAGCATCCTGCTCCCTATAGGGGCCAACCTGATGTTTTAAGAAGGCCATACAACAGGGAATCAAAGAAGAAGCGATCCCCCACCTAATGCCAATGCCCCTCCAGCAGTTTCATTTTGCTAACAACATTTAATAAACCTCTTCTCCTCCAGTACATTTATTTAATCTGCTTTTCAAGTCACTAAGCTTGAAGCTCCTGCCATATCTTGTAGGAATAAATTCGATAAGCTAATTAAGCACAGCCTAAAGTATTTTCTTTTGTAAGTCTTGAATCTACGATCAATTGACTTGCTGACCCCTACACTAGTGACTTCCAGCATTAGACCCCCATACATATTTGGTCTCCAAAACTCAGAAGGACCAGTAAGCTTGACAAACCCTACCAAGCAATGGATCAGGGATCTGGGTACCCAGGTTTGAGAACAAGGCCCCCCTTACTCTACAATATGCTTAATTTTATAAGCCTTGATGATGAGCTTTTAACTTAAGAAGTGTCTAATACTTTGCCCAAGGATGAAGAATGTTCAGCCTTTCAAATATTTTAGCCTACAGCTCCTGTCAGCAGCACTCAGCATGGCCGGTGGTAACAGCTTCTGGGTCCTAGAGTCCCAAACATCCAGCCAGCCATGTGTTCCCCACTGTTGGCTTCACATTTCTTCACAAAGTGGTACAGCCTGGTACTCTTTCAGTCTGCAATCCCTGCAATTGTGCCCATTCAGACACAGGATTAAACCCTGCCGTATAGTACATATTACAAGATCAAAGTTTCAGCATGCTGTTGAATTATATACACTCCCCTTCTCATTCAGCCAACGACAGAAGCTTGGAAGCTTTCATTTCCTTTTTTAGATAAACTGCAGGCTACTACTAACATTGTTAATATCAAAAGAATAAATCACTATTCTCTATAACTTTATCTCGGATACTTTCAATTTCCGTATAAAACTGCCCTTGCCATTGAAAAATCCACACCTT